AAACAATATCAACCATGTATGAGGGTACTTTATAGGTACGTGACCGCAAAAAATACGTATTGGATGTGCATCTGGATAGTACCCGGCTTTAGAGAAGCAGTCTTGTAACGTTACGTCTCGGATTCTGAGATAAATCTCTCAACCAATCAGATTGTTTTTTTTAGCCTATCACAGGCGAGATGTTATTGACCTATCGTACACATTGCCGCCAATTTATATTTATGTTACGATTGCTACTTTATAGAGTTGTGTTTTCTATCACGTTCGTTCAGAGAGTATATATACTCAGAATTTGTGTATTTCACCAGTGTTCATCTGTTGTTACTACTTACTATATCAGTCTATCTGGCAATAAACCATCACTGTGTTTTTTGCATACAACTGATCTGTCTGGTTCTGTTCCGGTATAGTCTTCCCGATCCTACCCCGGGGAGTTAACTGCTACACACTACACTTTACTCCCCAACATTTTGGTGCCGAGACCAGGATCAACAAGCAAGATGCCGGAGACAGAACAATCCGCCGGGCAAGGAGAAAACGCCAATGGTGATCAACAAACTACAGCGTTACAGAAACTGAAAAGATCGCGTCGAGGTCAACGCTCACAGATGACCAGACTATTCAACAAAGCCGATGCTCTCATGGCCAAGTACGAAGAAGACAGCGCCGATAAACAGGCCACGCTCGACACGCTGGAAGGGCTTAATGATCAACTTACCAGTAAGTTCCATCTACTTGCCGACCTAGAAGTTAACATTTTGGACCTCACCTCAGACGAAGACTTTGATGCGGAAAACGAAACGTCCCGGTGACTATCAAGCTGATATATATGAACGCAATCACAATATCGCCATGTTTGTGAGAAAGAACAGACTGAAGACGACGCCCGAGACAACAAACAGCAGTAACACTCAACCACATCCAACGCGAAAAACAGTCGCGCTACCAAAGATCGAATTACAAACCTTTTCCGGTAATGTTTTAGAATGGGCAAGTTTCTTTGATATCTTCAAGTCATCCATTCACTCTGACACTACCTTAGATAACATTCAAAAGTTTGTTTATTTACGAAGTATGTTGAAAGATGAAGCCGCAAGAACTGTCGGCGGTTTGACGCTGACGGATGCTAACTACTCACACGCAATCGAGCTACTAGAGGAAAGATACGGACAAAAGCATCAAATTATTGACGCCCATATGACTGCGTTATTGAATCTAAGTAAACCCGTGGATGACGCGAACATATGGAAAGCCATGACTGTCTTAAGTTCACTTATATCATGTTTTGGTGTACATTCTTCATGACATCGTGTGCAACCATCATGATATCGTGTGCAAACATCATGTTATGGTGTGCATTCATCATGTTATTGTGTGCAACCATCATGTTATGGTGTGCATTCATCATGTTATTGTGTGCAAACATCATGTTATGGTGTGCATTCATCATGTTATGGTGTGCATTCATCATGTTATTGTGTGCAAACATCATGTTATGGTGTGTATTCATCGTGTTATGGTGTGCATTCATCATATTATGGTGTTCATTTATCATGTTATTGTGTTCATTTATCATGTTATTGTGTGCAACCCTCATGTTATGGTGTGCATTCATCATGTTATGGTGTGTATTCATCGTGTTATGGTGTGCATTCATCATGTTATGGTGTGCATTCATCATGTTATGGTGTGCAAACATGTTATGGGGTGCAACCGTCATGTTATGGTGTGTATTCTTCATGATATCGTGTGCATTCATCATGTTATTGTGTGCATTCGTCATGTTATTGTGTGCATTCGTCATTATGTCGTGTACAACCATCATGTTATGGTGTGCATTCATCATGTTATTGTGTGCAACCATCATGTTATGTGTGCAAACATCATGTTATGGTGTGCTTTCATTATGTTATGGTGTTTATTATTTCAGTACGTATACATACATCGTAAAATAGCTCATGCGCAGAATCAAATATTCGCGAGCGCGGGAGGAAAAACGTTTTAGTTGCAGTCGTCAATCTGTCATCATACTAGTATAATGGAAAGTATATTAAAAGACCTGGATTTGGCAACACTCATTGAACGATTCAATGAGGAGCGAATAGAACCACACATTATGTCATCAATGACGGATAATGAATTAATTCGCCTCGGAATTTCTACCATTGGGGGCCGAATAAGGTTCAAGGAGCGATGTGCGAAATACACCGATCATGTTGATAACGTTGAATCACCAGGTCGTGGTAGTGGATCTCTGGCAGCCAGTGTTCGTCATGAAAGGAACATACTTTTCAATCCAACCAGAGTTAGTCGACAGAGGACTGGGAGAGGAGGGCGATCTGGCACAGGTAGAAATGCTGGGCGAGTTCGGACCTGGACAGTAAATGTCATTTGTTTGGCTGACCGACATGCCCAAAAGATTCCAACAATTGCTGAGAAAGGGATACTCTTCAAGGCCGGACTCGGACCTAAGAAGATAATGTTTAATGTTAACGATGAAGAGGATGACATTTTGGGGAAAATAGCAAATGAGTATCCACAATTGAAAACGTGTGGTGGTTTTGAGATTATGAGTTGTGCAGGGAACTGTCGAAATTTGTGCGTATTGGATTGTACATGGAATACTGCCCAACTGAAATGTAACCTTGGCCCACAAAGCCGCATATATCTACGTCCAGTTCAAAACAGCCTCAGTACGAAGCCAGTTAATGCAACTGTCACTTCATCTAGTTTGACAGAAATATGTAAAGGTTGTCTCAACACATCCCCTTTACATGATATCCGGTCTCATTTGGAGACTTGTCCTGAAGTATTATTCTCTGAATCTGACCCAGAAGATCTCCCTCCCGCATTTGACAGTAATGGTATCCAACAACTGGAAACACAGAGGGATGAAGCTGTGGTGGATATTACTACAATTGAAGACAATATGGCATGTATCTATTTTTTCATATCAGAAAAGGGTGTCTCAGGTTGGTAGTGGGGTATATGAATGTAAATTTTATTTAAAGCGGCAATAGCTGCAATTATGAACATTTTTTGGGTTAAAAAAACATAACATTTACCAAAATATTGTTTTATCCACAACTGTAGCTAAAGCCGCATAAAATGGCGATGTGATTGCAGTTTTAAGTGTCACGTCGCGGTCCATTTTGTTGAAATCGGTCATGTGATGGAGATAATAATTTATTACTCTACTGGTAGCATCTGAAGGTACCATATTTGATTTATTAGTATCGCATGCATTTTTATAAGAATAATATAGGGAATATTGAAGGGCATCAAGGCATGATGCAGGGCTTGAACTTCGGAGTTGAGAGGGCACCCATTTTCAAGGCAAAATTTCATAAAATGGCCTTAGCGTATAAGAACACCAAGGCGAACTCCTAGGGCATCAAGGCAATTGCCTTCGATGTCTCCGTGAAGTTCAAGCCCTGAACTCTAATATATACAACATACGGTTCTATTGGAGAGGTTGCTTCTTAAGTTCAGGTATGCGTCTGTCATCTTACTAGGATGAAGATAGTGAAATAAAAATATGGGTTCATCATCAAACTTGAATTAGTTTGGTGAAAATCTGATGTATAAAATGCACCGTTCCCTCTAAAGCCTTCAGTGTTTTTGCAAAATTTTCCGACTGAGCTCAGGTTTCTCAGTGAAACTGGACAATCTGAGGAATATTCCTTAATTTCATGCATTTTGTATTCAAATACACCTGATTCAAAGTGGTTTTAGAGATGAAATCACAAAATGTCAGTATCACTGCTAAATTTACTTAGAGAGAACACTGATATAATGGAGTGAAAATAGCATGTTTTGTCATTTTGTGCATTTTACCATTTATGGCAAGGATTATCAGTATCTCAAAATCTTGGTCGATGACACATGGTGAAAATATGATTTAATGTGTCCTACAATGAACTTGTTTACGTCTAGTACGAGACGTATTAATAAATTAAAATTATTTTTAGTGGGCTTTTAAAGTCTTAAAAAATAATCATGGTTTAACTAAGGAAATGACATCTAAGTTTTCAGAATATATTTCCTTATAGCAGCAATAGCTGTAACTATCGATCTTTTTTCTCTGATTTTTATTTTTAATAAAACATTTCCTGTGTCATTAGTGCCAATTTATGGTTTACTTTTTCACATATTTGGGAGACATGATCATAAAACCACTGAAGAAATACAGCAAATATTATGAAATACGTACACGACACCATAAATGTCCCTCCATCACAAAATATTAGGTTACTGAAAATGCGTTTATTTCTCCTTTTCAGACTTGGACAGCTGTAAATGTTAATAATGAAGAAGAGTAAGTATTGTATTGACATAATCTCACATACAAAACAAATTGAAATTGTCACACTGAATGCACACTGTGTATGGTTATTTTCTTTTCCAAAATCGATGAGGTCATTTGTTTTTTTTGAATAACCATGTAATCTCGAAAAATACCATGTGATAGAAGTATACTTTGCATTATTTTCCATACTTTTGGTTAGAGCCTTGTAAATTGCCCTCCTATTGCTAAACTCCATGCACACAAGACTGACAGAACACTAGTTTTCCACCCTCCATGACAATTGCTTATTACCCCATCATTAGAATGTTCTCTATATAAGTGATGTTATCCAATGACAGTCATCATTTGTTCATAAATATGTGAATAAATGCTCATGACTGTAGTGATTTGTTTCTGTCATTCATATTGCCAAGATTGCAAGATGAGCGGTTTTGGTGAGCAATTATGTCCACTGGTATTCACTGTATTTTAATAACAGCTGAAATTACATTATTTGTATTTGTTTAATATTTTGTGATTCATTTTGTTTGACAGACTAATTGCCCTACCAAAGCAGCCTACTTGAAACAGTCCAAGGACCTAACATGTGCATAATTATTGACTTTCGCATTTATACCAATGATTAATGACCAATATTTCTGGTGTTTTCATGCAGACATATAGGTGAAAGCACTGAATCCATTTCCAGTTGAAGTCAAATTGATGCAACAATGAGCAGTATTTCCACTGACAACTCTGGTACTAGAAATGCCGTTGATGATACCACTGTTGAACCAGATGTGGGAAGTATTAGGTGAATTGTATTTCCAGTAAGATCCTAAAATTGTGGCTTCCATTTGCAAAGCTCACTAGGTCAGTTCATAGACTCTATAGAAGACACATACATTGTCTCATTGTGTCAGACTATACTAGTATTCAACACGTACATTCAGTCTCATTGAGTCAGACTATACTAGTATTCAACACATACATTCACTCTCATTGAGTCAGACTATACTAGGATTCAACACATACATTCACTATCATTGAGTAAGTGTCTTGTCAAGAGATTTTTAACCATGACAATCAATGCATGGCTTAAGAATTTGTACCAAACTAGTACTATAGTACAAGCCTTCTATATTGAGCTGACAGTTTATTTTTGCGTACACTTGACCAGGTATCAAGCAGGAAACTACTTAATTTACTACTGTCTGTTCATTGCAAAACAAGAATGCACATAATTTGTTATATCAAACTTGTTACATGTGTGGTACAACTATAGTTATTTCTACAAAAATACTTGCTAGACAGTTTGTATGCACTCTGTTATCTGTATTTCTTGCCTGTCTTCGATTTATATTCCATTGATGATATGAATATGCCTGGACAGAATGAAATAGCTTAATCTCTGTGAAGTTCGAGCCCTGACTGATTATTTCCAGTATGATCAATATTGTTGATATAGTGTTCTCCAAGGATTATGACAAGCATGGCGGCTAATTTGCTTAATAAGGATTGAGGTGATAATTGTTATTTTGTTTCCAAAACATCAAAGAATGGCGGCCGTCATGCTTAAACAGCTCTGGGGAGAACACTGGTATACTTTTGCCATCTTTGTAGTCTGACTGATCCTATGGTAAAAATATTTGGCGAATTTGGCGAGTCGTCGAATACATGATCAGATTTTACTGTAGAATCAAAGGGACTGCACGTACCTTGTATGATAATTTATATTATTATACATCATGGCATTGACAGCCAATCAGATTCATGTATTACAGGTGTGGCATATTTTCCAAAATTGCGGGGCTTGAACTTCACAGAGGCATCATAAGGCAAATGGTGCCCTTTGACAAATACAGATTTTCCCTATACTATTCCTATACGCCAAGGCAAATTTTATCAAATTTTACCTTGAAAATGGGTGCCTTCAACTTCGAAGTTCAAGCCATGGAACTGCATGTTAAACCATTTACTACATTTTAATAAAAATGCATGCAGAACATGATCCTGT